TTGACTCTTGCTCTGGTTCCTGTTGATGCTGATATGGACAAAGAATTTCTTTTCATGTGCTTAAAACATGGGTCTAACTATGACATTATCACAACTTGGTGACTACCAGTTCTCCTTCAACTTTCCCCATTTCTCCTGTAATGTTTATGGATATACAGAGTACTGCTTTTTGAAATGAGCAATGTGAGTCTGCTAAAATTTTGTTAAGCATCATATTGCCAGCAGACAGTGACAAGGAAGATTCTCCTAGTATATATAGTTAGTACTTAAATTGGATGTGAAAGATAACTATGGGACAAAAGGATCTGCAGGATTGAGGCAGTTGATATTTGTCCCCCCTTGACCTCCCCCACAGATACCTCTGCCTTGAGAATGACAGCTAAAACTAAATATACTAAAGTGATGTAACAGATGTGTTCTGCTAGATTATATATCCTATGAAAAAGCCAAATGTGAAAGTATGCTTATAAACATATTCATTTGCAAGATTTTCCTCATTTATAAGTTACCCAAAGACTGCTAAAGCACTGCTTAATTTATATAAAGTCAGTGTACTACACTAATTAAATCTTGCTCTTGTTCTGTTATATCAGACATATCAAACCCACAGTAACTAAACTTTAAAAAGTTAAAAAATGTAGTGTCAAGGAACTTCTAACTTTATACAATGTTTATTGTTTCTAGGAGTACGTAGAATGCTCACTTTGCTACTACAGCACAATTCTCCATAATTAGGCATGGGTATATCTTCTATAGGTATATTGTGCTTGTATGGTATTTGTATTGTGTTACATGCCCATTCCAGTCCTTTATGTCAGCTGTTCCCATAATGCATAAGCGCTATTACTTTACCAGTACATCTTCTGGGATCCTCAAATTGCTCTGGGCATTACACATGCAAATTGCTAAATACTTATGGCCTCTACCCAATAAATTACATCAACACTATGGCATAGCTAGGCAGACTCAGCTGAGTTAAAACTAAGGGGAAGCAGGCATTGTAGTACACTGTCTGTCCATTTATTATTTCATGATTTCTACAAGTAGCTTAGAAGGCTGGAAGGAAACCAGGCTTATACAGTACTTAATAAATTGACGTCAATAGATTACAGCAACCCTCTCCCCTGTGCAAGCTCTTCTGCCCCAGAGCCAGTCAAATAATCAACTAATCTCCACCTGTGAAATGCTAGCCAAAAGGGAGAATTAAGGCTAGAGGATAATTTCCTCAGAAGGGAGGATTTATCAAAATAACCCTAGTTAGCTACTGAGATGTTAATTACATTTACATGGCTTTGTTTTACAACTCAAAAGCACTCTTCTTCCTTTGATGCTTAAAAGATATCTAAAAGTTTCTGATTTACATGTACATGAATGTGTATGTATGTGTGTGTGTGTGTAAATGTACTAAGGTACACAGTGTGAATAAACCCTGTATAGCATTGCTCCTGTAAACACAAAAAGCCTATTTAGGATTATTTGTAACAAGCATCTTCATCTACCATATATATCCTGCAAAGAAACTTTGTGCCAGCACTCTTTTGTATATAAAGAAAAAAAGTCCTGAGCAAGGAGATCCATTTTTTTTTTTAAAGGGCAGAAATTAGTTTTACATAGGACAAACATTTTTAAAAATTAGTGATGTTGCCCAAGAACATCTACCTGGATTATAGTAGTTAGTATAGTAGTCCCAATTATAGTAGTATAGTAGTCCCAATAGTTTCTACCCATCCAATTTAGTCTGGCAGAGAGAGCATGCTGCAAGTCCCGTCAGCCAACGAATGTGGGCTATGGGGACCAGGAGACATGCCTTCTCTGCTGTGGCCCCTGCCCTCTGGAACATCCTCCATTCAGAGACCAGGATGTCCCTGATAGCCTGTTAGAAGGCCTGGTTATGTGTCTGGGCCTGGGCCCCCAAATGTGTTAAGGACCCCGTTTCTTGGCTACGCTGATAATTATGGGATATTTCTTCTCAGCTGCCATACATATTTATTTTATGCTGTGTTGTACTTGTTTTAATTGTTTTTATGATTGTTCATCACCCAGAGTCACTTGGTTGAGATGGGCAGCTACAGAAATTAAAATAAATA